AGGTGTGCACACTTCTGCCAGTGCGCACTCCTGCCGGCATGTGCTTGGCGGAGGGCCGAGGAGGCGGGAAGGAATGGTGGGCCGCGGGGAGGGGGGGAGGGGGAGGGGGTGCCGAAGGGATGAGGGATCTCGCCGCACGGCACACGAAACGAAAACGAAACGAGTGCACACGAAAGGTGGCAAAATGCTCTCGTCACTATTTATAGCAAACCGATGAACCGGGCCATTTTCTGCGGGAAGATGCAGTCGTTTCGTTTTTCGTTTCGTGTCCCGTGTGACTACGCCCGAAGAGGCCGGTATTTTTTTTATTTTATTTTTTTCGATGAAGAGGCTGGTATTTGGGTGTGGGCGATCGAGGGTGCGTCTATTTTTATGCGCTTGCTTCGGAGTTCGTGGACTCCGGCGACCGATTACCTGACACGTGGGCGTGCCTCCGTGTAGCGTGTTGCCCTTTTCTTTTCTTTTCTTTTCTTTTCTTTTCTTTTCTTTTTTTTTTTTTTTTTTTTTTTTTTTAAGCAGGGGCCCTGAGGGCTTCATTATAAAATTTGAAATGAGGCCGGGAATCCCTCATACAAAACAACCCAGAAAATAAACTGAACCAACGATTCACATGCATGTATTGGGGGTGCGTGCAAGGTTTTAAAAAAAAAAAAAAAAAAAAGAAAGGGGGTGCGGGGTTGGGATAGTAATCTAGGGACAGAAATGGCCAAATCCAGACCGCTGCCCTGAATATCCACAACCCTGCTAGGACACAAAAAAAACATGCCACCAAGGCCTTAAAAAACCTAACAACCAACAAAGAAAGAAAGGGAAAAGAAGTGACCACCAAATAAAGCTGCCCCCAAGGCCAACAAAGCCAAACAACCAAGAAGACTCAACAAAACAACCACCAACACAACAGGCAACTACTTTTTATGCTAAACCTACTAATCCTATAAGTACGAGCCCCTAGCTAACATTGTTCTAACTGCCACTATATGCTCGATGCCATTTCTAAATCTATGAAATTACTTATGATTTCTGTCTAATGCGACAGAGTGTCCCAGAGTAGGGCACAGTGAAAAACCCTAAACACTCCCTCCTCAAACTTCCCCCTGCCTGCCTACTGTGACCAACAACCGAGTGTTCAGGTTCAATCTACACTGCAAACAGCCAATTTCGGATTACCAACCTGTTATCTTCAGTAACTATAGCCATTGAGTCTCTGAGAGCCCAGTTTTCTCTGAACCACCTGACGCCTTCAATCTTATCTTTTTTTTTCTTTTTTCTTTTTTTTTTCAACACAAGCTCAATCTATTGGTGGGGAGCAACACCTGCTGGAAACCGGGTCCAGCGTCCCATAGATACAACCGTATCCTCACAAAATGGCACAAACTGGGAACGGGGCCCAGCGTCCCATAACAAGCACATTCAGAAAAGTCATCAGAAAATTCCAAGGAAATGAGACTAGGAACCTACTAAGAATGTTAGAGCTACTCCAGCCCTTTTTTGCGAGAAACTTCAGAGTCAGACAAAATTCGGAAAACCCTCAAGGATCCACCACCAGTACTCTTTCCTCACTCCGGC